TTCAATATTTTATTTGAATTTTATATTATAAAGTTATTGTTCATAATAAAAGGTACAGAAAACAAAACTATGAAATCTTATTGGGGAAGAGGGAGTAAATGCTTCAGAAACACTACTCAATGAACTGAAACAATTGAAAAAAAACTTCAGCTTATATTTAAATAAAGTTTCATTTTTAATGCATAGACAGAGTGACTCTTAGGGGAAATGACACAGAAGTTCCTGAGTGAGTTAAAGGAGCCATCAGTATTCCCAATGAGGTGTGGGTATTCCCTTTGCATGTTAGTCACTTTATGGTTCTTAGGGAAATCTTGTTAAAATGCAGATTCTGATTCAGCAGTTCTAGGGTAGATCCTGAGATTCAGCATTTCTAACAAAATCCCATGTAATGTCGATAATGTTACCCTGAGAATGTAACTTGAATCGCCCTGTTTTAGATCTCTTCTATCCTTGACATATGACTGAGAGCTGACTATAGGGGATCCCTCCTTGGTCAGTTATTTCAGCGACTTGAAAGGGGAAGAGATGAACTGCTGGCTTATCTGAGGGGTGAAAGAATTTTGCTCATTCAGAAATTTGAGGGGCTGGGAATAGGAAATTGTTAATATTAGATGGGTTAATCACCAGAAGTTTTATGTGTCACCAACACAGGCTTGTTCAGAGACTGAAGGAGGTAAGGACTTTTGAAGTGGTACTCAGGTTCCTGCTGCTTAACTGAAAGTGAGATAAGATCAGATTCGTTAGGAAACAATTTTCAAAACAGACTCATTTATTTTGACTAGATGAGGCTGAGTGATAGTAAGGAAATAGATTCATTGTATTTTTTAGAGACCCACTGTTTTAGAAAGTGGAAAACCAGTTACTTAGAATTTTGCTTTCATTATTGCTGAGATTTTAAATAATACCCTTCCACGTCACCTTTAATGGTACCGAATTATTGCCATTAATCGCTTCCCAGGGGGAAAATAGATTTAAGGGTCTATTTCCCTGCTTCTATCTCCATTTTGTGTGACTTTAAGAAAATCATTTCAAGCTTTACATTTGAGTTCCCATGGTGAAAAATGGAAATCAAAGCTCTTGCCTTGTTCCCTGTAGAGTGCTTACTGAAATCAACGGACTTTGAGGTAGATTTCAATTGCTTAAAAAAACAAAGGACTTTAACAATGTAATATTTAATATTTATTTAGCATATTATACATATGCATATATTAACCTACTTTATATATGATCCAAATATTCTGATAAACCTTCATAACAAAAATGAAACATTTCCTATAATCACACCAGCAATTAAATTGATCTTTTTTTTGTTTTTTTCTGTTTTGTTTTACAAATTGAATGAACCTGATTAGAGTATTTGAGTGTTTTTTGTTCTTAAGGTAATCAATGCTGATGGACATTGATTAAATATATAGTAATTTAATCCACATATTTAAAGACTTAGTTCTAAAGGGGGTTAATGGTAAATTAGGTCAGTAACTCAAAATGACCCTCTGTTTCGAATGCTTTAGAATCATCTGTTCTTCTAAGTTTAAACACATTTATTTTTATCTGAGTTCAGCATGTATTCTGACCAATATTGACCCAAATTTGTAGCTAAGAATAATAATCAGAAATATCTTTAATCAAACTCTGTTGATCCAGATTCACATTCATAATTTGAAAATATTCAGCATAAAGTTTACTTTACTTTTATAAGAAGTAAAAATTTATTAGGCAGATTAAGTAGCATTATTATATATACTAAAATGTAATAAATAATCTATATCTATTATCGTGTGGGGGTCAAGAGCTGGGACTCTAGAGTTAAATAGGCCTGATTCAAATCGCTCTTTGTTGCTTGATCTCTAGTGTGGCTTTGGTTACTTAACTTCTCAAAGTCTCAGTTTTCTCATCTACAAAATGAATTTCATAACAGAAAGCTCATAAGATAGTTGTGTGGTCCAAAAGAGATAATGTATGTACTATGGACTAAATCGTGTTCCTGTCAAATTCACATGTTAAAGCCCGAACTCCCAATGTGACCATATTAGATAGGGACTTTAGGAGATAATTAAGGTTAAATGAGGTCATAACGGTAGGGCCCTGATCCAAGAGGATGGGTGGTCTTATAAAAAGAGAACTCTTCTCCATACATGCACACAAAGAAGAAGTCATGTGAGCACATGGCAAGAAGGTGGCTTCCTACAAACCAAGAGGAGCCTTAGAATGAAAACTATGTTGCTGGCACCTTGATCTTGGATTTCCAGCTCCAGACATTGAGAAAATAAATTTCTTGTGTTTAAGCCATTTTGCTCTGGCAGCCTAAGCAGACTAATACAGATTTTGGTACCAAGAAATACAGTGCTGCTGTAACAAATACCTAAAAATGTGGAAATGGCTTTATAACTGCACAATTGGTAGAGGCTAGAGGAGTTTGGAGGTGCATGCTAAGCGAAGCCTACATTGCTGTGAACACAATGTTGGTAGAGCTATAAATGTGAAAGTTCTTGGTGAGGTCTCAGATGGAAATAAGGAACATGTTATTGAAAACTGGAGGAAAGAATGTATATCCTTGTAATAAATGGAAAGAATTTAGCTGAATTGTGTTCTGGTGTTTTGTGGAAGGTGGGACTTGCAAATTGGCTCTTTTGCAGGAGAAATTTCTAAGTGAAGTTGTTGAAGTGCCTTGGATCCTCCTGACTGCTTATAGTAAAATGCAAAGGGAGAGAGATGAATTCAGGAAAGCATTGATAAGCGAAAAGAAGTCAGAACTTAAAGATTTGGCAAATTCTTAGCTTACCCACATGACAAAAAATGAGGAAACTTCTTCTGGAGAGAACACCAAGGGTGTGGCCAGATAATCACTCCTTAAGGAGATTACCCATGATGTTAACTAGCCATTTCAGCAGAAGCCAGGAATAGAGTTTGTAGCCAAGTCTCAGAGACACTGTCAATTTGGGCCAAAGGGAATAGGACAGGAGAACAGAACAATTTGGCTGCAAACATGCTTTATCTTTCAAGAAAAGGGAAGAATGGCCTTGAAGATGATTCAGAGATCATCAGTGATACCCCTCCCACCATAGGCCCAGAGTGCACAGGCCCAGAAGGGTAAGTATGCTTCTACCTAGGTTTCAAAGTGGAATTAGAACCCAACATTGCTGAGTGGGCCAGGCTACCCCCAGAGCTGTAGGGGTGACAGTGACACACAGTGTGCCTGGAGGGCAGAGTATCAACCCAAAGAAGATTATTCTCAAGCATTAATATCTAATGGAATTGGCATTATGAGGTTTTGGACTTATTTAGGACCTGTCACCCTTTTTTTCCTTCCCATTTCTCCCTTCTGAAATAGGGATATCTGTCCTATGCCTATCCCATCATTGTATTTTGGAAGCAAACAACTCATCTGGTTCCACAGGTTCATAGCTGGGGAGGAATTTTGCCTCAAGATGACACATACTCAGAGTCTCACCTATATTTGATTAGATGATATTTAGATAAGACTTTGGACTTTAGACTTTAGAGTTGATGCTTGAATGATTTAAGACTTTGGGAGCTATTGTGATGGAATGAATGTATTTTGCATATGAGAAGGATGTGACTTTGGGGGCATCAGTGGTAGAATGCTATGAACTGAGTCATGTCTCCCCACAAATTCATATGTTGAAACCTGACCCCCAATGTGGATGTATTTGGAGATAGGTATTTAGAATGCATTTAAGGTTAAATGAGGTCATAATGGTGAGGCCCTAACCCAATAAGATCGGTTGCCTTAAAAGAAGAAAAAGAAAAAGGGAGATCATTCATTCTCTCCATGCATGCATGAAAAGAAGAGGTCACGTGAGCACACAGCAAGAAGGTGTCTGATTATAAGCTGTTGTGCCCAGATTTCAAGATTCCCAAGGGCCCACCAGGGAGCCAGCGAGTCCGATGCAAAAGCAAAGAGTCCTTCCACATGGCCAAGGTAAGATGGAGGGCATAGCCCTTACCCTGGGGCAAGATGGAGGGCGTAGCCCTTACCCTGGGGCAAGGTGGAGGGTGTAGTCCTCGCCCTTTCATAAGCCAAGAGAAGAGGCCTCAGAACGAAACTTATGTTGCTGGTACCTTGATCTTGGACTTCCAGCCTCTAGAACTGTGAGAAAATAAATTTCTTTTGTTTAAGCCACCCAGTCTATGGTATTTTGCTATGGCAGCCTGAGCAAACTAATACAGCATATAAAACTCTTGGCATGTGGTAGAAATCAAATATATAGATATACAGTCTCATACACACTGAGTAATGAGGGAGAATATTTATTCCATCTGAAAGGACAAGCTGCTTTCAAGTAGTACTTTAGCAGGACTCCGTTTTAATTCAAATTGCTGTTACCTCTATTTTATAATATACAGGGGATCCCCCAAAAATGTATACACACACTTTGAATAATTACAAAGGCAGTGTTTATTAAAATATATTTAATTTTTAAAATTGAGCTATAAGCTTTTAAAGTGTGTAAACATTTTTTAAGACACACTGTATTATAAAGTGACATAGTAATAGTAATCTAGGAATATAGTATTACATTTATTATACTTGCAATTAATATTATTGTTCCTATTATTTTATGTGGGCCTGGTAGTACCTTATCCCAGTGAAATGTTTTCACTTTAATGCTCGATATGTACTGAGAAATAATAAGGCTATACTTAGTTAAATCTATTTAATAATTCACTATTTTTACCAGTTGCAACACAGGTCTCTAGTTTGTTCTATCCAAACTTTCAACTAGACAAATCTTAGGAATGTGAGCTCCTACATTTTTTTAAAAGGAAAAGATAAAGAATGGTTACTGGAAACTGTGATCTGCTGTATATAATATGCAAGCCAGTTAGATTCCCCAGGTTTTTGTTCCTATGAATTCATGGTTCCATATGTGTGTGTCCCAGTATATGTGACATTTATATGTAATAGTAAAGCTCAAATTGAGAGCATCCACTTGTTCTTTCAGAATTTTTCAGTAATGGAGTTTATTCTTTCACAGGTATCAAGGTTACATTTATACATACCGAGTATCCCAGACAGACACAGGTTCTTGGAGTGCTGAGGTATATATCTTTTATTATTTTTACTTCTGTGGGTATCAGGGAGGTGTTTGAATTTAGGCTGGTTTTATAAAAGAGCTGTCAAATCCTACATTCCCCAAATATTCATCAGATTCAAATCACTAAAGCGGGAATCCAAAAGTGTTCATGGATCATTAACAAGCTTTTAGAGAAGTTTGGTCCCAGTTCTGTTTAACCACCATTGTATGGAGTGGTCTTACCTTGGGGAAAAGAATAAAAAATGTTGAGGAGTTGTGTCAAACTTTTGTCAATTATTGTGACACAATAATGAAATGTGTACAATAAAATGTGTAAAATAATTAAATCAGCAATCATTTAGTGAATGGTACTAATATGAGTGTTGCTGCTGTGGTGGATTATTTTCTCAAAGCTTATAATACCCATGGGGAGATACAACATGAATTAAATAGCAATCTGAGAGCCTGGACTTTGCTGTCAGATGGCTCTGGGCTCCAAGTTGGGTTTCCTCTCCTCCCTGATAGGTCTATGACCTTGGGCAGTTTACTTAACTTTTTCTATGAACCAGTTTCTTCATCTGTACAATAAGCCTAAAAATAGTCCCTTAATCATAGGGCTCGATTTATGATTAATAAGATAATGCATATAAAAAAAGTTCTTAACCACAGGACCTAGAACATAGTAAGCCCTCAAATATGAACTGGCCCAAATTGCTAACAAATAATATGATTGTATATAATGAAGTTCTACCTTATTTACTACAGGAGTTCAAAAAAGGGAGGGTTTTCCAAGTATTAGGGTAACCAGCGCTGCTTTAAGTTTGAAGGCAGGACTCCCAACTGAGCCAAGTGGGAAGGACATGGAGAGGTGGAATAGAGATAAAGGGAACATTACAGTGGTTTTTACGCTATGCTCTGCAAAATCTTAGTGTTTCTTTCACCTGGTGTCTTGGGGTTGTCTGTGGGTTGCAGAGGCAGAGAAGAACATAGACAGCTAGGCTTTTGAGTCCGAAGTTTGTCTTTAATCTGAACAGTTCTCTTTTGTTTTGTTTATCAACTAGAGTTCTGATGGCTTTGAAAACATTTGAAAGTCACTGTATCATAGCAAGAAATACCTGTAGAATGAATCTATTTCCATGTACATGGGTAGTATATCATATATTACCAATGTAGAAGATCCTACAACTGAAACTTTTAACCTCAAATGCTTTCTCTGATATCCAACTCTTAAAACAGTCTGTTTTTTATGATGAGAGCACTTCGTTGTGAGCTGTTTGAAAACATAAATGCTAATGTCAACCTCTATTAATAACTCAATCAATCTATGCATTTAAGAAATTCTAAATCCTAGACTTAAACAAATTAAAACAGCTCCAACGTTTACAAATTCATCAGTAAACCAGAAAGCATAAATTGCAAAGTACAAATGTTTTGAACTACTGAGATGAATCAGGGAACTTTTCAAACACACTGTTGCTTTATATCAGGATAATTAATATTGCAGTACTAATTAGAGGAAACCAGTGCCATTTGCAATCAAAATAATTTATACTTGTTTATTTTAAGAAATTATCTGCATTGCTGCAGAGATGATTAAGTAAGAAATTAAATTTCATTTATTATGAAGAAAAGTTCTGTATGATATCTACACGCATATTTGTATGTAATTTGACCTGGTATAGTTATTCTCCCTAGCGAAGTAGCCTTCAGCTGTGGAATGATATTTTTTATGGAAAAGGTCTTAAATGATCAGGGTTTAGCTAACCATGACTTCAAACTTGTTTTCTTTTGTTTCAAGTATAACATTATATGCAGATTGTTACATGCTTGTGATCATGTTAAGGAAGAGAGGACTTATTGAACATAAATAAGTCTCATACTTTTGTCTGTTTTGACCTTGTTTTTATAAAAATATAGTGATATTGCAATTCTCTGCACCAAGAGAGCAGAACGTTGGCATTTTTTTCAAAGGGAAAAGAGTTTTAAAAAAACTCTTTATATTTATTTTTGAAATGCATATTGCATTTTTTTTCCTGTCTGCTAACTTTGCCTTCTCTATTGTATTTTTGCTAAGGTGAATATTAAACTAGTGTGTATTCCCAGAGCTCATATCACCTGACTGGAAGAAATTTCTCTAGAGCATATTGAAGGCCAGCTATGGTCCAAAACATGTTTCCACAGATAACTAAGAGATGACAATATGGGAAATGTGCAAATTTGAACAATAGCTGAGTTCAGTGACAGGATGGGAGTTGTCAGTGGTACAATTCTTGTGGTAAATGTATTTTCAAAATTGGGTAAATGACACTGTGTTCAGAACAATGTTTTAGTTTCACACTGCAGGAAAAATCATGGCAGTAGGATTCCATCCTCTGTGCAAAGATTGTGCAAGGAATCTAGGTAAGGCTGAGATTTGTTTCAAAGAGTGAAATAAAATTGAATCCTGGATCCACTGGATTATGAAAGATAAATATTTATGTGAATTTCTAGTTTTATTTATTTATTTATTTATTTATTTATTTATTTTTAAAGCAGGGTTTTTTATTTTATTTTTTTATTTTTTTTAATTCTCATCCAAGGATATTTGTCCATTGATTTTTAGAGAGACTGAAAGGGAGGGGGAGAAACAGACACACAGAGAGAGAAACACATTTATTAGTAGAGGTAGAGGTATGTGCCCTTGACCGGAATTGAACCTGAGACCTTTCAGTCCACAGGCCAAGGTTCTATCCACTGAGCAAAACCGCTAGGGCAGAATCTATCCACTGAGCAAAAAAGGGCTAGGGCAGAATCTCTAGTTTTAGATAGACTTTTAGGTTTTATTATTGCCTAGTGTATTAACTTCTCATGTGACTCAGGCTAAAATTTTGCTAAATTGTTAACTCAGAGAATCCTACATAGAGTCACCTATCATTTATGAACATGTGCATTGCCAGAAGTGCCTTATAATAACAATGCGAACCTCTCCCTGCCAACTTTAAGGCCTTTGGGATTTTCTGGATATTTGATCATCAGTAGATCAGTAAACGTTAAATAATTTTACTTGTTAACCTAAGCAAAGCACTATAAATGAGGTCAGCCATTTGCCAATGAAACATTCATCCCCAATTCAAATTGTTTTAATACATCCAGTGCTGTTATTCCTCTCTGTTAGCATGAATAATCAAGTGCTAACTGTGTATAAGTCCCCATAAAAAGTTGATAAATGGTTTTACAAGCCACCAGAACAACTAAGATGTGTGGTTTGAAATCTTTCCACACTGGGGGAGTGTATAGTTTCTCTGCTGGTTGGTGACTCTAACTTCACTATAACCTGTTTGGTCTAGCCCTGATCTGAAAGGCAAGAGACTAGGTCCTGGGATATAGAGCCAGTTCTGCCTCTGGTCATCTGTGGGACCTTGGGCAAAATGAATGATCTCTTTGCATTTCCATTTTTTTTAATCTGTCAAATAAGAATAACCAAATCAGCCAATCTCTGAAGAACCAGTAGGGGCAAGAAGTGGGAAAGTGCTTTGAAAATGAAAAAAGTGCTCTAAGGAAGATATAAGGAGGTATTTTGTGTCTAAAACCTGCCTTTGCAATTTGGAGATTTTATCTTGGAGCCAAAGAACTATTTGGACCCCTGTAAGAATGACCGTGTTATTTTGGATAAAGTAGAGTTCTGGGAAGGTGTTTTTATAGGGGTGGAGCTGAGTGCAAGAGTGGTCTCTACCTACTGATGCTCTTAGCTGTGTGAGCCTGAGTCGACACTAATTCTAAGCTCAAAAGAACTTTCCCAGTGCTCTCACTGAAAAATTACTTACTCCAATGCAGGAAATGACTGAGAGTTACTATGGACAATGTGCTATCTTCAGCTTTTAGTCTAGTTGGCAGAAGTCTATGTGCCAGCCCTCATGTTTTCTCATTAAATGCTAACAAAAAGCTCCCACCTCAAAAATCTTCCAGATGGAATAGCTGAAAAATAGCTTTCTAAAAAAACTAGTCATTGTTCAATTGCTTATAGCAATACTATTTTATTTCATGTCCAATGACAGTTTTGAGATGATGCCTAAAGCTTGGCTTATAAGCCTTTGCAGGAAATTGTTATTGATTTCAAGCTGTGTTTTTGCAAGAGAACTGATGTCAGGAAAGGAATACATTTTAATAGTCACTTGCAAATAATGTCTTCAGAAACAAACAAATAAATAATGGTGACCTTATACAGACTTTCATTTTCGTGTAATAGATAAAACTTTGTCACAGTGAAGTGTTGATGGAGAGAGTAATTTGGGGGAGGAAACGGAAATTTCCCAAGGAGGAAAAAATTTAATGTGAAGGATGAGGAAGGACATATTGTGAGGTGAGCATATAAGGACTAACTTAGCCATGCATTGTGTGTATCATTACAGTCAATTTTAATTTCCTGTGTAGCATTTTATATTGTGGGATGATGACAGGGAGGATACGTGGTGGTGATTTTGTTTTGTTTTTGTTTCGTTCTTCAGGCTTTTTATTAATGACCTGTAGGATCTGAGTTTTTTCTGTGTTTAACTGCATCTTCTAAGTTGGTGAATTCATTGTGGGTAATGGCCTGTATACCCTTAGAGGTTCGGGATGTATGATGGGTAGCAGGCAGAAAGGGCAAGGCAATGAGCAAGAGCTTGTACAAACTAATACCACCCCTGGGAGAACTGAAATGACAGCTCATTAGCTCCTCTTGCAGGGAAATTCAGCCAACCAAAGTAAGCTCTTCTGGGATGTTGTTTTTCTCTTCTTCCTTATGTTTTCAAATATTTGAACAAGTTACACAAATGTTACCTCTCTAAGCATCCCTCACACATTTTGTAGGGCTTTTCATATCATTATGAGGTAGTTGAATAATTTTCTTGACCTTTTATTTTCCAGACAGCACCTGGGGTTCATAAAAGATTTTTCCGGAAAATAAAAAATCTCATTTCAGCATTTCAGAAGCCAGATCAAGGTATTGTAATACCTCTGCAGTATCCAGTTGAGAAGTCCTCAGCTAGAAGTACACAAGGTACTACAGGTACGGTTTACTGTTAATTTTTCAAAATTTTATTTTATTATTATTATTTTTAAAAATATATTTTTATTTCAGAGAGGAAGGGAGAGGGAGAGATAGATAGAAACATCAATGATAAGAATCATTCATTGGCTGCCTCCTGTATGCCCCCTACTGGGGATTGAGCCCACAACCCAGGCATGGGTTTGTGACCAGAATCAAATTAGGGAGCCTTCAGTCCACAGGCTGACACTCTATCCATTGAATCAAACGGGCCAGTACCAAATTTTTATTTTAATTACAGTTGACACACATTATCATATTAGTTTCAGGTGTATGACATAGCGATGCAACACTTATTAACTTATGAAGTGATCAGCACAATAAATCTAATACCCATCTGACATCATACATAGTTATTATGATACTAGAGGCCCGGTGCACAAAATTTGTGCATGGGGGCTGGGGTCCCTCAGTCTGGCTTGTGTCCTCTTGCAATCTGGGACCCCTCAGGGGATGTCAGGCCTAAACCGGCAGTCGGACATCCCTCTCACAATCTGGGATGCTGCATGCTCCAGTGACCACACTTTTCATACAGGGGAAAGGCATCTTACTGTTGTATGGGCAGCTACATTTTTTTGCTCTGTTTATAAAAAGTAGTACATAACAGTAGTAGATCCTTCTGAGGCAGTAGTACCATTTTCCCCAACTTATGGGTGGAAAAACTGAAGCAGAGAGGAGTTAAGTAATTGGCTTTGTCACAGTTATAAGAGTCAGAATCAGGGCTGACCACAAAATGTGCAAGCCAGAGTTCATGCATGTCATCATCCTGTTTTTTCAGTGTTAGGTTGAGTGCTGGCCCCCTGGTGGTCAGTGTGCATAATAGCGACCAGTTGTTCTGCTGGTTGTTCTGCTGTTCAGTTGATTTGCATATTAGGATTTTATTTTATAGGATTTTTGACTGTATTCCCTATGCTGTGCTTTACATTCCCACAATCCTATCTAATAAAGAGGGAATATGCTAATTGACCCTCACGCCATCTTAAAGATGGCGGCACCACCGAAACTGGTTTGGCTCAGTAGATAGAGCGTCGGCTTGCGGACTGAAGGGTCCCAGGTTCGATTCCAGTCAAGGGCATGTACCTGGGTTGTGGGCACATCCTTAGTG